TGGTTTTATTTTGTAATCAATTCAATTGATTTGAGTATTTTTATTTATATTATCTTATATTATATTGTTATTTATGTCCTGTGATTTATATATTAATTATGAGTATTTTTATTTAATTATGTAATATTTTATTTTATTTATAAATTTTCAAAAATACTAACAAATCGGATTTTACAACTAACAAATCTTATTTAAAGAAGAATTAGTTGCAAATCTTATTTTAAAAAAATCAGTTGCAAATAGGGGTATAAATAGATCGGGCCGGCCTACAGGGCTTACAGCCTAGCCTATATTTGGCCAGACTTGGTCTATTATAAATAGTAAAATAGAATAGGTCTAGGCTTTTAAAAAATACTATTAGAAAACAGGCTATAGACTTTTTTGTACATGTTTCTAACCATATATCATATACATGTTTTCATTGAGTATTCTACGAAAGTTTCTAATATGAATTTTTGGGTTTTATTACATGAAAGTTTAGAGAATTTTTCAAATTATTTTCAATCGATACTTTAAAACCTGAATTTATGAGTATTCATTAAATTGTTTTGGGCTTTTGAAAAACAAGTTTTTAGTTACCTATTGATAAAAATATTTTGAAATCGTTTTCGTTTCCTATAGTGAAGGAATTTCGTTCATGAATGTACTGTTACGAAATAAATGATTTATATTATGAAAGTTTCAATCTTTCTTTAAATTGATTTTGTTTCATTGATGAAAAATGAAAATTGATTTGAGGGTTTTATGTTATTTTTAATACAAAAATCATACATTTTTGTGCCAAGAAAAATCTCGACCCATAGCTTGAAAAATCATTTTTTAAACATCCAAAAGCTCTCAAAAATATGTTGTTTTTGAGATATTAGAATCTTGTTAGTTTTTTTTTTTCTGTATTGTTTTGTGATGAGAATCGCTCAAAAATCTGCTATTTTTGAGGTTTGAAGAAGCTCCTATGCCGCAACCTGGTTTTGAGCGGGTCAACCCATTAAAGGAAGAAGAAAACACTGCAATTGAGAAATCGCAAGAAATTCTAGGGATTAAGGTGAGATTGTGAGAGAGACATCCTATATATATTTCTCACTAAAAAGTCTCACGGAATCCATACTAATAGAAAATCCATTAAAATCTTTAGATTTTTGAATACCACAAGATTATTTTTCTTTTGTTTCAAATACTGGTTGAAACCTTTACAAAAAAAAAAAAAATTATTGATTGAATACCAACAGATTTGGACGGATTCTAAAATAATCTTTTAAAAACCTAATCGAACACCACATGACTTTTTTTCAGTCATTTAAAATCCTAATCGAATACCCATAGATTTTTTGTCCAAAAATAATCCATTAAAATTCTTTGAGATCCCAATCCAATACACCCCTTATTATTTGGATTGTTATTCAAATAAAGGACATGTGGACATCATTTGAACCTAATATGTTGATAAGAAAAGAAAAAATTTATTCGCATGTCTGCCTTAATTACTCTGATTTTTTATTGCACTTACTATCATAATTAATGATAATTTACCGGATGCGCACGAGGTATTACAAAATACGTCCATTGTAAGCCTCAATTTGATTTGGGAATGGATCCTCTCATGTGTAAAAGTGATCACAATCACTCATTGATGATGAGATATGAGAGAGAAAAATATATAATTTTTAAATGAGTGGTTGTGATCAAATAACAAACCACATGATCAATTTTCCACATAAGAAGATCCATTAGGATTTAGGGTAATAAATCTGTTCTATGTATTGGGTATTTCAAAATATATTCACTATTATTTTAACCAATTACTATATATTGGGTAATAATTCCGTTCTATGTATAAAATACCAAATCTGAATGCACGTATCATTAAAATAGACACCATCTTGTACATTTTATAGAGAATTACAATTTATTTATCTTTAATTAATAAAAGATAAGGCGCCAAAGAAAATGAGCAAACCATGATGGGAGTGCAACCCAAAAGTAAATAACGAGGATACTACTCTAATGCATGATAGAGATGTGTGAAATCAAATTGAATATCGATATTGACGGAAAATGAATCAGCAACCATATCTTTTTTAAAAAATAGAATCAGTTGCAAATCCGGGAAAGATAAACACATCGGATTTTACAACTAACATATCATATCACATTCTCTTTATTTAAGAAATTTAGGATTTTGAATAGTTATTCTTCTGTTTTGATTTTATCTAATGTTATGGATCCATACAAACTAGCCTATATATTAAGGGAAATAATAATCTTATGTTACCTAAGATTGTTATCTTATGCATAAGACACAAAGTAAATGTGGGACCCATTTTAATTTTTTTTTTCTTCCTTATTCTCTCTCCTCTCTCTTCTCTATGTGTGTAGGAGATAACTCTTCTCCTATGCAACATGAGAAAAGACAATCTCATATATTAATAGGTCCAATAAAGAGCAATTTAAAATTTAAATCAAGCATAGTTATGAAAAGATATACATTTAGAATACCAATCTTAATATAACAGCATGACAGACTAGCCTGTGCCCTAATTAATAAATAAGATAAAATTATAAAATTAGCAATTAAAATTTAGATAAAAACATATTTAAATATGATAAAATTAAATTTTTTTCTAATTAATCTTAAATTGATTTGATGTCTATCAAAATTTTAATATATAATAAACAGATAAATAAGAAAAATACAATCAGTATTTAAAAATTAGATACAAAGTAAATTTAACCATGATAAAATTTAATTTATTTTCTAATCAATCTCAAAGATATTTAATGTTTATCAAAATATCAATATATATAATAAATAAAATTGGTTTTATTTTGTAATCAATTCAATTGATTTGAGTATTTTTATTTATATTATTATTTATGTCCTGTGATTTATATATTAATTATGAGTATTTTTATTCAATTATGTAATATTTTATTTTATTTATAGTTTTTAAAAATACTAACAAATCGGATTTTACAACTAACAAATCTTATTTAAAAAATAATCAGTTGCAAATCTTATTTAAAAAAGAATCAGTTGCAAATAGGGATGTAATTGGAGTAGGCCAGCCTATAGGGGCCTACGGCCTAGCCTATATTAGATCATATTTGGCCTATTATAAATAGTAAAATAGAATAAACCTAGACTTTTAAAAAATACTATTTAGAAAACATGTCATAAGCTAATAGGCCAGGCCATACGAAATATTTTTTACCGAGACCTAGTCATAAGCTAATAGTTTTAAAAATATTTATTGTAAAATAATGTTCAAGATAAAATCACCAAAAATAAACCTCTTCTCATTAAACCTCAACTTGCGAGGATAGAGTTGAGGAAATTCTTGCATGCATCCTTAAACAAGAAGAAAATACATTATTAATAATATTGAAATTATTGCCAAATCAAACCCATTGCCCCAAACATGCAGGAACAGTCGCAAAATAAATATAATGTCACCAGGAACCGTCGCAAAATATATATATTGAAATTATACCGAGTTAGGTATACAGGGAGGAAAACAAATACTCAAACTGATAAAAATATAATTATATTTTGGTGTACAAACTACAAAGTGTGACTACAATGAAGGCAGCTGCTACATGTAAAGAATTTTGGGATACACCACCCCAAAAGCTAGTTTAAAGGGTGAGAGTGCTCAAGGCCTTATAAAGGCTACATTAGTTGCCCACACAATCAATGTGAGACTATATATCTCAACACGCTCCTTCACGCAAGAGCCCTTTAGGCTAGAAGCATGGAAATTGCTCAGGCCCAATTTTGGTTTACTTGTGCTTTTTTTTAATTCCACTTTAAAGCGGGGGACGGTGAGACTTTGATATCATGTAAAGAATCTTGGGATACACCACACATTGATTGAATGAGCAACTAATATGGCCTTTATAAGACCTTGGGCACTTCCACCCCTTGAGCTAGCTTTTGGGGTGGTGTATCCCAAGATTCTTTACATGGTATCAGAGCCTCACCGTCCCCCGCTTTAAAAAGTGGAATTAAAAAAAAAAAAAGCACAAAAAAGGTAAAACCAAAAATTGGGCCTGTGCAATTCCACGCTTCTAGCCCAAAAGGCTCTTGCGTGAGGGGGTGTGTTAAGATATATAGTCTCACATTGATTGAATGAACAACTAAAATGGCCTTTATAAGACCTTGGACACTCTCACCCATTGAGCTAGCTTTTGGAGTGGTGACCTCAAAGTTCTTTACACTACAAAATAACAATGAATGCAAGCTAGGGATGAGTTATCATAGAGAGAAAAGTGTGATCGGAATTTGTACATGATCAACGAGGTGAAAATAATCATGGAGAAAATGACATCGTAATAACAGAGTAAAGTGTTAACAGCTGAATAGTGATAGGTAAGTCAAACATGATGGTATTGCTCTAATACCATGCTGAAATTATAGGGATTTTGGTACAGAGAGGAAAATGAATATTCAGAATAATAAAATTATATTGATATTGATGTGAATTACGTGTTAAAATGCAATAGATACTATAAAGAATTAATTCCTATTTATATCGATATTAAAGTCCAAATCCTAATTAAATAATGAAATTGTCAAGTGAAGTATAAAAACCATTCATGTAACTTCACCCAACAACTTAAGTTTTTGGGTTGAATTAGTTCTTTACATGCTATTAAAGTCTCGGTGTCATGGGTTCAATCCTTACCGCTCTCATTTAATTCATAATTAATTAAGTTTTACGGAGTTTCTTATCACATGTAGGTGGATCTGTGCATTATCCATCCTTCAAGGCTAGTGAACTCTCATGTGAGGGGGCATGTTAGCGAAGTATGAAAATCATTAATATAAACTCACCCAACAACTTAAGCTTTTGAGTTGAATTGGTTCTTTACAAAAATAAATCATGAAAAAATAAAGAAATAAGGAAACTCTTCTTAAGAGATCGTCTAAGAGATTTAAAACTCTTCCAAGATACAACCAGAAATCAAAAGATATTTTTCATATATTTTAACAATACAAACGCACACTTACCCTCAAGAAACCTTGTTCAAGAATGAAGCCCAAGACCATTGGCACAGCAGTGAAGACACCAATTTGAAAGAGAAACTGCGTATTCAAAGCTGCACTCAGGGCAGTGTTCTTAGTTATCCTAGCCCTTTCTTCAATGGTTTCACCAACACCAGATAGTGCCTGGAAACAGATTGCACTTGCATTCATAAGGGTAGAAATAACTGCAGCCATAAGTATTTGTTTGTATTTTTTGTCCCAAGCTATACTAGCTGTGTTCTTTTACCATTCACTTGTTTTACATGCTGTCCCCTTCGTCTATTCACAATAACACTCAAACATAAATTGCTAAAAAAACTTGAAACTGAGAGTTTGGTGCAAATAATATCATTGAAATAAGGAAAAAAAACAGTAAAAAAATGTGACATGAAACCATCTCCCACTTTAGACGAACCACAGGCCTAGATCTGGTGTGAACCACAAACATTTGACACTATGAAACTCCAGAAAAACAAAGGAAGTTTTGAACAAAAGGAAAAGACCATCTGGCACAATGCATGATAATATTGAAAGAATGAAAAGCTTAGATCAATGAAATCCAACTTACCAAATACGTTTTTCCATAAAGAAAGGCATATACAGTAAGCACCGTTAACTGCAATTTGATAAATAAAAAAATTCCTCAGATGAAGAAAAGTTTGGATATAAAATATACATTCTGATGATTAAAAAATTATAAGACAGGAAAAATTTCATTCCAAGAGATTGTGTTAGAATGAGTGTCAGTGTTACTGTAATGTGGTTGGGCTCTCTCTCTCTCTCTCTCTCTCTCTCTCTCCCTCTCATATTCTGCATGGTAATTAAAACTGATCATTAGCTACTATTGCATCTGCAGAAAACAATCACAACGACCAAGCCTTCTTACTCTATCAAAACTCAAGTTTTCAACAAAACCAACTAGAGTGTTAGTAGATCTTCCTCTAGACACTTTAACCAGAAGAGCCTCTATTAGTTTTCTTTGCATATAAACAGACAACCTTAAACAAGTTTCTGCCATTTTTTCCTCAATAGGCTACTCTATCTCAACATTGGTATTTCTGCTATCCTTGATTTTGGGACATGTTGCGACTATTGCCCAAAATTTACTACCATAGAGAATCATTGTTAGGTAGCATTTTTTTTGGTCACTGAAGCATTTTTACATTTCATCCACCTAGCAATCTCCTCATCACTTTGTAAGATTTGTTCAAGGAGGCTCTCACGGGGGCTAGGACTAATTTTATTATTAACAAGGTGGGGAAGCATGATGGGTAAGTGCTAAGAGCCTAGAATGAGGGATGCTCCTGATTTATAAATCAATCAACTATGATGCATAAATTGCATACCATTGTACAAAAGTAGTAACCAACGGTTGTAAAGTAAAAGGACATCATCCGGAAGAAATCAAAAAGTTGACCAAGTCTGTACACATCACGACTGAGAACTTGTTCACCATTACCACCAGAAACCTTCCCTTCGAATAATGCAATCTGATTGAGCCCAACATCTCCCCTTACCAACCTGTAAATTTTACTATTAGAACAGGGTTTGTTGCAGATGCATCATTAAATAACGAGCCTCACCTGAATATATTCATGATGTGTAATATTCCCTTGACGTAAGGTTGAATTGAATCCTGTGTGTTAACAAGGATCAAGAAAAGAAAAGTGAGAATGGGAACAAAAATGAAAACACTGCAGACAGTGAATCTGAAAGTGTGATTGGATTTTCTGATCTATCCTGTACATGGATGGATTTGTATATTTGTAGGACTAGGATCTAAACTAGAGTCCGAAAATAACTCTAATAGAATTTGTTAGATGCAGATACAACCTTCTAAAAAACAGTTAAAAGTCTGTTTGTGGAGCAGACTAAACCTACTCCAGAATAAGCTAATCCTAGTACTAGATGGAACATAACTGAGCTAAGCAATTCAGCTTATTTTCTAACAATTACACGCGCAATAAAGTCTCTTTATAACTTACTCATTAATGCAGTGCAATGCAGTTTTACTTAAAGTCATGTTGTTAGGATGATTTCTGTTTTTGTAGGACAAAGGCATAAATGATTTTATAATATATCTCGAATGAACTCCCTCGTGCAAAAGTATTTTGGGTTTGAAATATGGACAATACTCAGGCCCGCCTATCTTGTACTGAAATTCAATTGTTTATTAAAAGAACAGGAGTGACAAGGATCAAGTTCTAGAACATTTGATCATAGAGGCTTTGATACCATTAAGGTCGACCCGCTGACACAACACAAGAAATTTGTGTTTGGGTCAATCCTTTTTCAAATTCATATTGTTTTCGTGTTAACAAAAACTGACATGAAAAAATTCATGTCGCATTGCACGTCAACCCGGAAACACAAAATTGACCTATGTAAAGAACCAATTCAACCTAAAAGCTTAAGCTATTGGGTGAGGTTACATTAATAATTTTATATATCTCCAACATGCCCCCTCACACGAGAGCCCATTGGGCTTAAAGGATGGATGATGCATCAGGCTAAGCCTACCTGTGCTAAGAAACTCCACAAGACTTAATTAATTATTAATTAAATGGGGGGCGATGAGGATCGTACCTGTGACACCGAGGCTCTGATACCATGTCAAAAACAAATTCAACACAACAGCTTAAACTATTAGGTGAAGCTACATTAATGGTTTTATATATCTCTAACAAACCACGTTAATCTTCTTAAAGGTTATTAGTCTTGTGTCGTGTCAACACGATATTAGTGAAAGCAACATTAAGTATACATGTTATTCAGTATACACGATATTAGTGAAAGCAACAATTCATTGGATTTGATTTTCACAATACTATAGTTTATGTAGAAAATCAGAATTCAAATTCAAACATTTTTCCGTTTTTATTTCCTATTAATTAGGAATAATTAAGATTAATTAGGATTGATTGTAATTAATTAGAATTAATTGTGATTAGGTTTGGTGAGTCATAACTGAGTCATGCTTAGCTATTTTTCTTGTATAAATACTTCTCATTCCTCATGTAATTTATTCAATATCAATATACAGAAACCCTTTTTCAATATGGTATCAGAGCAGGTTGGTCCTGAGAAAACTCAGCCACCACAACCACCGTCAAACCGGCGGCACAACTCCGGAAAACTCAACCTCCAACCATCATTAAGGTTATTTTCCCTTCCTACAAAGTCCCAAGAGCAAAGTAAGGCTACCAATCACTGTAGAAGGCAAAATCCCAGCTTCCCACCGCCGTCAGCCACCGTCAGCAGCCGTCGGAAAATTTTTTCGGCGAAATTTCCGGCCAAGATCCGCACCATTCGAAACAGAAGGAGCCGATCTTCAAGTTTCAAGAAGGACCATCGGATTCTGCTGAGCCACGCGCTAGAGAAAGGACGGAGCGTCCACCCTACGCATTACCACACGTAGCCATGTTGATTGAAAGTAAATTTCCATCCAGCAATGTTGCTCAACAAGGTATAGCGTTCCATGTTGATAATAGTAGTCGATGGATTCTTGATTCAGGAGCTTCAGATCATATGACAGGTAATGCAACCTTATTTTATTCTTATACCCCTTACTATCAACAATCACGAATAAGAACAGCAGATGACAGCTTCTCTACTATTGCTGGAAAAGGATCCATTAAACTTTCTGAACACATTACTTTGAACTGAGTCCTTCATGTTCCCTCTCTTACTTGTAACCTTATCTCTATCAGCAAACTTACGTCCGAGTTACATTGTGTTGCCAAGTTTTCTGTCAATGCTTGTGTTTTCCAGGAACAGGACTCGGGGGCTGATGATTGGAAGTGCTAGAGAGGAAGAAGGACTTTATTATTTAGAAAAAGATTCTTGTGAAGAAAAAAATTTTGTGAACCACTCGGTATGTTTGTCTGATGATTGTAATGATGTTTTGTTGTGGCATCGTCGGTTAGGACACCCAAATTTCATTTATCTTCAGAAGTTGTTCCCAAGCTTATTTATCAATAAAAATCCTAGTTCTTTTTCTTGTGATATTTGCCAGCTTGCAAAACATTCTCGTGTTTCTTATCCTCCTAGAGATCATCATGATTCTTCACCATTTACCTTGATTCATAGTGATATATGGGGTCCAACTCGTGAAAAAAATATCTCTGGTGCTCGTTGGTTTATAACTTTCATAGATGATCACTCTAGGGTATGTTGGGTATACCTTCTAAAGGATAAGTCTGACGCTGCATCCATTTTTAAAAACTTTCATTCTATGGTTCAAACTCAGTTCAAGACCTCTATCCAAATTCTTCGAACTGACAATGGTATTGAATATTTTAATTCTGTTCTTGGAAACTATCTCAGCCAGCATGGTATTCTTCATCAAAGTTCTTGTCCTAACACCCCTCAACAAAATGGGGTGGCTGAAAGAAAAAATAGACATCTCCTTGAAGTTGCTCGAGCTCTTATGTTTACCATGCATGTCCCTAAATATTCGTGGGGGGAAGCTGTCTTGACTGCAGCATACCTCATCAATCGGATGCCTTCTCGTGTCCTAAATTTTCAATCTCCTTTATCTTGTCTTACCCACACCTTTCCTTCTTTCCGGGCTCATTCTTCCCTTCCTCCCAAGTTGTTTGGCTGTGTGGCTTTTGTACATGTTCCTCCCCATCAAAGGTCCAAGTTCGATCCTAAGTCCATTAAATGTGTCTTCATAGGATATCCTCCTAACCAAAAGGGCTACAAGTGTTACTCATCTTCACTTCGTAAGGTCTTTGTTTCTATGGATGTCGCATTTGATGAGAGACAATCTTTTTTTCCTTCGACTTCTCTTCAGGGGGAGTCTATTGGGGTTGATGAAGATAAGTCTTGAAAACCAAATGATTCTGTTGTTTTGCCTTTGCCGTTGGAGACAAGGGGAGTCATTATGCAAAAGACAGGGGGAGTTAATGTGTCAGATAATGGAGATCCTCCCAGGAAATGGGGAAAGTTTTATAGCAGGCGAGAATCACCTCAGGAGCCTCTAGACTGCCAGGATTCTGACTCGAGTCTTAGTTCCAGCAACACTGATATAGCCAACCTAGATGTGCCTATTACTCTCCGAAAAGGTACTAGATCTTGTACTACTCATCCTATTTCTCATCATATCACATATGAAAAGTTGTCCCCAGGTTTTCGTGCTTTCAACACTATGTTAGACAGTACAAAAATACCAAAAAATATCCAAGAAGCACTTGATGATCCAAAATGGAGGAATGCAGTCTTTGAAGAAATGGATGCACTCAACAAAAATGGAACTTGGGAGTCTGTAGCATTACCCAGAGGAAAGAAAACAGTAGGTTGCAAGTGGGTGTTCACAATAAAGTTTAATGCAGATAGCAGCATCAACAAGTATAAGGCCAGACTGGTTGCTAAGGGATTCACTCAAACTCATGGGATAGACTATCAAGAGACATTTTCCCCTGTTGCCAAGCTTAACACTATCCGAGTTCTTTTATCACTTGCTGCAAATCTTGGTTGGCCCTTGCAACAATTAGATGTAAAGAATGCTTTCTTGAATGGTGATCTACATGAAGAAGTTTATATGGATCCACCACCTGGTTTTGAAAAAGGAGACGATTCAGTATGCAAGTTGAAAAAGTCTCTATATGGTCTTAAACAATCTCCTAGAGAGTGGTTTGAGAAGTTTACTCAAGCTGTTAGGGGAAGAGGATTCCTCCAAGCTCAGACTGATCACACTTTATTTTTAAAACATTCTAATAGTGGTAAAATTGCTATTCTAATTGTTTATGTTGATGACATAATTGTCACAGGTAATGATTATGAGGAGATAAGCTCTTTGAAGAAATGTTTAGCTAATCAGTTTGAACTGAAGGATCTTGGATCTCTCAAATATTTCCTAGGCATGGAAGTTGCTCGAAGTAAGGCAGGAATTTCTTTAACTCAGAAGAAATATATTCTAGACCTGTTACAAGAAACAGGAATGCTTGGGTGCAAGCCAGCAGAGACTCCAGTTGAACCCAATATTAAATTGGGAATCAAAGATGGGAAAGAAGTTGACAAAGAGCAGTATCAGAGATTGGTGGGGAAGTTGATCTACTTATCTCACACTCGGTCTGATATTGCATTTTCAGTTAGCATGGTTAGTCAATTCATGCATTCTCCTAAGGAAAAACACCTGAGTGCAGTTTATAGAATTCTGAAGTACCTCAAAAACACCCCTGGTCGAGGATTGTTCTTTAAAAAGGGACACCAGAGGATGATTGAAATATATACAGATGCAGATTGGGCTGGCTCAGCATTGGACCGAAGATCCACTTCAGGATATTGCACCTATATCTGGGGAAATCTTGTGACCTGGAGAAGTAAGAAACAAACAGTTGTTGCCCGGAGCAGTGCAGAAGCAGAATTTCG